TGATAAAGTTTAATTGATAAATGAGGCACAATAAGTGGAGAATTATCACTTTTTCACTAATGGGAAGAACTTCACAACTTCTCTTAGACTTTGAGCAACTGTCACCATCACTACTTTTGTGCTTTAGTGTCATTATTAAGCAAAATTAAGTTTTTTGGGGGGCCAGGGATACAGGGGTTCTGCTGTACAAGATCTTTGCAGTTGAGATAAAACGTTTGTAAGCACTTCTGCTCACAGTGGATTACCAAGGATCCAAAAATATATCATGGGCCAGAGAACGAGGAAGGAAATGGAAATAAATATGACCTGTTGTATATGTCGACCATCACTAATCTGGCATCATTGGGACCTGTAGGCTGCTGGAACCTGGCACAGTAAATCACAGAGAAACTGTGGTCATACCTTTGAAAGCCATGGTGTAAACTTTACCAATGATGCTAGTTTGAAATTAGTGTCATATAATGATGGAACCAATAGTGATTACTGCAATCTAACAAATACTTGTATAGACTGACAGCTCGATTATAATGATACAATGTGTGGGTTATGATTTTTTAAGATATGCTGCCAGGGAACTATCAATTCATTAAGTGATAAAGTCCCTGATATATGAAACATCTAATTAGTAAACTCCACAAGCCAATGAGCCATTATCGTGATCATCTCTGGTACAGGAGGGCCCTGCTTATATAGCAGGTTAAGTTCCAGGCTAACTGCTGTAAAGTAGGGGCCCGAAAAAAGGGGAAAAAATGGGGGGGGGGGGGGGGGGGTAAAATATAGGGGGGGGGGGGGGGGGGGGGGGTGGGGGGGGGGGGGGGGTTAAAAAAAAAAAAAAATATATATAAACTCCACTTATACAGCAGGGTGTGGTCCTGGGCTAACTGTAAAGTGAATCAGTCTTTTCTCACTTTCAAAATTCACATAAAATCTCAATAACATGTTTACACTATCATATATTAAGTGACCATTAGAACTAGACCTAAAAAAATGCATATACAGGTCTCCCTCAACATTCGCGAGGGTTAGGGGATCAAGAGCCTCGCGAATGTTGAAAAACCGTGAATGTTTGGTGCCCCAATATATTGTAGGGAAATATATTACAATACTGCTTCCTTAACTTGTTGAGTCATGAACAATCATAAAATACATGAAAACATCGTAAATTCTACTAAATATATACATGTTTATGCATTACTAACATAAAGGTTATAAATACCACAGACTCCACCACTGCCTCCACCAATGCCTCCACCACTGCCTCACCACTGGCGACGTCCCTACTACCCTCCTCCGACCCCGCAACTGCGCCAGCCCTCGCCACCCACTCAGTGTGTGAGTGTTTGTTTGTTCAGTATTTGCTATTAACTACAGTAAAAATAAGAAACCCATTCATGATCCGCATCATTGGAATGGCAATCGGACAGGTATAGACGGTGACATCATGTTTTTACTCGTGAACACAGCAAAGAACAAACATTTCTGCTACTGCTAATAATAACAATAGTAATAACTAATAATAATAATATAATAATATAATAATAATAATAATACGATATAATTGAAGAAGAAATTGTTACAAAAATACGAGGAGTGGTTGACACAACAGATCGTCCAGTGTGGCTCTGTTTATGCTGGAGTGAGCATAGTCTCCCTGCTCTTCTTCCATACATTTCACAATAATTTCTCAGTCAGTTGAGGCAGTTGGGTATTTTAATAATTATAAATGTTTATAAATAATAATAGTACATATTATTAACATGTATAATATTATTAATAACAGTATGTTATTAAATACACTGCCTCAACAGCTGCCTCACCCACTGCCTCAATCACTGCCTCAACAGCTGCCTCATCCACTGCCTCAATCGCTGCCTCAACAGCTGCTTTCACCCACTGCCTCAAGTCCTGCCTCAACAGCTGCTCAACCACTGCCTCAATCGCTGCCTCAACAGCTGCCTCACCCACTGCCTCAATCGCTGCCTCAACACTGCCTCATTGCTGCCTCAAAAGCTGCCTCACCCACTTCCTCAAACGCTGCCTCACCCACCTTCCTTCAATCGCTGCCTCAACAGCTGCGCTCACCCACTGCCTCAATTGCTGCCTCAAAGCATCCATCAACAGCTGCCTCACCCACTGCCTCAAATCGCTGCCTCAACAGCAGCCACAACAGGCTTGCCTCACCCATCTGCCTCAATCGCTGCCTCAACAGCTGCCTCAAACAGCAGCTCAACAGCAGCCTCAACAGCTGCCTCAACAGCGCCTCACAGCTGCCTCAACACTGCCTCAATCGCTGCTCAACATCTGGTTCACCCACCTGCCTCCCCCCAATCGCTCCTCAACAGCTGCCTCACCCACCGCCTCAATCGCTGCCTCAAACACTGCCCTCACCCACTGCTCTCAATTGCTGCCTCAACAGCTGCCTCACACCCACTGCCTCAATCGCTGCCCTCAACAGCTGCCTCAATCGCTGCCTCACCCACTGCCTCAATCGCTGCCTCAACAGCTGCCTCAATTGCTGCCCAACACTGCCTCCACCCACTGCCTCAATCGCAGCCTCAACAGATGCCTCACCCACGCCTCAATTTCTGCCTCAACAGCTGCCTCACCCACTGCCTCAATCGCTGCCTCAACAGCTGCCTCAAACGCTGCCTCACCCACTGCCTCAATCGCTGCCTCAACAGCTGCCTCACCCACTGCCTCATTGCTGCCTCCACAGCAGCCTCAACAAGCTGCCTCACCCACTGCTCAATCGAGCTGCTCAACAGCAGGCCTCAACAGCTGCCTCACCCAACTGCCTAATCGCAGCCTCAACAGCTGCCTCAACAGCAGCCTCAACAGCTCCTCAACAGCTGCCATCAACAGCTGCTCAATCGCTGCCTTCAACAGCTGCCTCACCCACTGCCTCAATCGCTGCCCTCAATTTGCTGCCTCAACCACAGCCTCAACCACTGCCTCTAAACAACTCCAGTGCGCACTCAATCTACAAGCACCAAACACAATGAATTATTGTGAAATGTTTGGAAGAGCACGGACAATGCTCACTCCAGCATAAACAAATTCCACACTGACGATGTGTCAACCACTCCCTCGTATTATTTTGTACAACTTTCCTTCGTTCAATTATATCGAGATTTATTATTATTATTAATATTAGTTATTATTTTATTATTATTATTATTTTTTATTATTTATATTATTACTATTGAAATTATTCGCAGTAGCAGAAATGTTTGATTATTTGCTGTGTTCAAGAGTAAACACAGGATGTTCACCGTCTATACCTGCCGAATAGCCATTCCAATATGCAGTCATGAATGGGTTTACCATTATTTATACTGTAGTTTAATAGCAAATAATGAACAAACAAAACACTCACCACACTGAGTGGTGGGAGGGCTGGCTGCCAGTTGCGGGGGTCGGTGGGAGGGTAGTAGGGACTCGCAGGCAGCGGGAAACTTGAATATGATTTAGCGGCTGGGAATTTGGTGGCTGGGAATTTGGCGGTTGGGAATTCGCGAATGTGTGAAGCCTGCGAAAGCTGAAAACGTGAATGTTGAGGGAGACCTGTACATTACACACATTGCTTTTTTTTTTCAACACGTCGGTCGTCTCCTACCAAGACAGGGTGACCCAAAAAGAAAGAAAATTCCCAAAAGATTAAGATTAAGAGATTAAGATGTTTATTTTGACAAGTTACATGGTTGTACAGAGGAATATAATAATTGGGTGTACATGCCAAAAGCCTCTTTGTTTTCAGAGCATTTCGGGCAAGCTTTAAGATTAACTTAAGATTAAGAAGGCAATAATACAAATTCTCATCATTATTCAACACTTACACCTCACTCATACATAATCACTGTCTTTGCAGAGGCGCTCAGATACGACAGTTCAGAAAAAACACACATTACTTACCCTAAAATATCTTCATCCTTAGTTTATTGTGAGTATGTTTATTAGTGATTATATTTATTGTAGCAAGTCTGATTATATGAAGAACGGCTATAATTATAAACTGCCGTATTAGTGAAGCATTTTACTATATTTCAGAGATAACCCTCCCAGTACTCACAGTAATCCAACAGTAATCTAACAGTAATCCAACAGTAATCCAACAGTAATCCACAGCAATCCAACAGTAATCCACAGCAATCCAACAGTAATCCAACCTTTGTTCCCTCTGCTCTGCTCACAGATACAAGATTCATAATCTTGTTCTTCAATAAGTTGAGAAAGTTTATTATACAAAATACACGTACTTGTAAAAATGATTATTTTTTTTAGTATTATTAGTACAGCAGACTGTATACCCTAGGAAGTTGGCTATAAGCATGTAAAATACAGTGGACCCCCGGTTAACGATATTTTTTCATTCCAGAAGTATGTTCAGGTGCCAGTACTGACCGAATTTGTTCCCATAAGGAATATTGTGAATTAGATTAGTCCATTTCAGACCCCCAAACATACACGTACAAACGCACTTACATAAATACACTTACATAATTGGTCGCATCCGGAGGTGATCGTTATGTGGGGGTCCACTGTATACTTCAAATGGATCACAAATAGCAGAAAAGTGCACATTCTTTACACTGCAGGTTAGACATACTTATATCTTAGTATTGTATTAGTGCATGCACTTCTGTCTTTTCACATACAGGTGGTCCGCAACTTACAATGGGGTTACATTCCGACGCACTCGGTGTAAGTTGAAAATATCCTAAGTTGAATATGAATACGTTTTTTTTTTTTTTCAACAAGTCGGCCGTCTCCCACCGAGGCAAGGTGACTCAAAAAGAAAGAAAATCCCCAAAAAGAAAATACTGTTGTATTCTGAGCACCTCTGCAAAATAAAATGAATACGTATATGACAAATAAATAAGTAAACAAATAACTACTGTCACTGAATAGGTAAATAAACAAATAATTATACTCTCCATGGGGCACAAACTCTCCACAATATTTTAAAATAGGCACTTAAAAACAACTATGATTATACTTACCCTACTGCTTTTGTGAGTTTATCGGTGAGGCTGGGATTCTTGTTTTTGAGAAGTTTGTATACTTCCTCGTATATGTCGCAGAGTTTGATGCCAGCCTGGAATATATTTGTAATTACTGTGTGAAGAAATCATGGAATGGGTAGGGTTTAAACTTATGGAAAGTGAGGGCTAAAACTCACCTGCCAGTGCGTTGCATGGTTGGTTTGCAGTCGTGTTATTACGATTTCCTAAGTCGTGCTGTGTGAAGCACTAGACCCATGTGAGTCATTCACTTCAAGGAGTGTGCAGGCTTAATTTGTTATATGATAATATAAGCAGGCCCTGCTTGTACAGCAGGTTAGGTTCTAGGCTACTACTGTAAAGGAGGGCCCTCTTGTACAGCAGGTTAGTGTCAGCTATAACTGCTGTAAAGGAGGGCCCTGCTTGACAGCCAGGTTAGGTTCTAGCTACTGCTGTAAAGAAGGCCTGCTATACAGCAGGTTAGGTTCTAGGCTACTGCTGTAAAGGAGGGCCCTGCTTATACAGCAGGTTAGGTTCCAGGCTACTGCTGTAAAGGAGGGCCCTGCTTATACAGCAGGTTAGGTTCCAGGCTACTGCTGTAGAGGAGGGCCCTGCTTATACAGCAGGTTAGGTTCCAGGCTACTGCTGTAGAGGAGGGCCCCACTTATACAGCAGGTTAGGTTCCAGGCTACTGCTGTAAAGTGAAACATACCCTTTTCTTACTTTCAAATGCATATAAAAATCTGATAACATATTTACACTATCATATATTAATTGAGCAACAGAGCTAGGCCTAAAAATGCATCTACAGTACACACATTACTTACCATAAATTTTTTTTGTCCTTAGCTTAAAGCGAATGGTGAATACATTTATTGATAAATTAGACACATGCAATGCTTGGATATCTTTACCAAGAAAACGTTTCACCATACAGTGGCTTAATCAGTCCTATACAAAGAAGAATGGTGAAGCTCAGAAGGAGTTTGAGGTAATCAGTCCCTCAGCCTGGAGTTCATGTAATCAGTCCCTCACCAGGAGTGATGTAATCAGTCCATCAATCTTGAAAAGAAGTACAGCATAAGCCAAAAGAAGTGGGCCATATATACTGTAGACGTTGAGGATAAGCATCCGAGGTGGTATCACAGTGGGCAAATCCACATGTGGAAGTAGTCTTTGCCTATAGGTTAGCAGTGAGATCCCTGAATCAAGATCCCAAGAAGTTGCTGTGTCTGACAGCAACCACTGATGAACTGATTACATCGACTCCAGGCTGAGGGACTGATTACCTCAAACACTCAATCTCTACCATTCTTCTTTGTATAAAACTGATGAAGCCACTGTGTGGCAAAACATTTCCTCAATAAAGATACCCAAATATTGAATATGTCTAATTTATCAGCTTGTTGGTCCTCTGAACCATTCATCTACATTCAATATATTTATTGTAGGAAGCCTGAATAAATAATGGATATAATTGAAAGCTACTGCATTAGTGAAGCGCTGTAAAGTGGGGCCTGTCTATATTAAATGGTATACAAAACTAACAAGTACTTGAATAAGACGCATGTAGCACTCAGTTATTTATTGTGGAGATAATCAAACTTTCGTTTTTTTTTTTTTTATTTTTTTTTTTATTTTTTATTTTTCCCCGTTCTTCTTTTTAGCTCACCCTGCCTCAGTGGGATCCAGCTGGTGTGATGAAAAAAATATATATAATCAACCAGTGGCATCAATAATCCAATACAGAGACTACTACTGGAGCCATGACAAAGTAGTTTGAAGTGATCAGTTCCTCAGTCTGAATGAATCTGCTATAGACAGTAGAAGATGTGTAGTAGTAGTCTGAAGCAGTCAGTCCCTACGATGAATCTGAGAATATATTACACAAATAACCTGCATATATGAGAAAGACTTATGGTAATGTTTTAGTCCAACTTGGACCAGAGGAATCATCAAGACTGAGGGACTGATCACCTCAAACTACTACTACATGTCTTGAGTATTATTCTCAGTTTTAGACTGATAAAGCTGCTGGTTGGCAAAACATTTTCACAATAGGTAAAGTGTTGTACATGTTTCTTATTCATCTAGTAACTCATTTGACAGGTGTTATCTACCAGCCTACTAACTACAGGAGGGCCCTGTGTAATACAGGAGGGCCCCACATAATACAGGAAGGCCCAAGTAATACAGGAGGGCCCTGTGTAATACAGGAGGGCCCTGTGTAATACAGGAGGGCCCCACATAATACAGGAAGGCCCAAGTAATACAGGAGGGCCCTGTGTAATACAGGAGGGCCCCACATAATACAGGAAAGCCCAAGTAATACAGGAGAGGCCTGTGTAATTACACGGGGCCTCTCCTGTATTAGCAGGGCCCTCCTTATACTTGGGCCTCCCTGTATTATGTGGTTCCCCTGTATTAACACAGGCCCTCCTTGTAAGTTAGTAGGCTGGTAGATAACACCTGTTAAGTGAGTTACTACATGAATAAGAAACATGTACAACACTTTACCTATTGTGAAAATGTTTTGCCAACCAGCAGCTTTATCAGTCTAAAACTGAGAATAATACTCATGACATGTAGTAGTAGTTTGAGGTGATCAGTCCCTCAGTCTTAATGATTCCTCTGGTCCAAGTTGGACTAAAACATTACCATAAGTCTTTCTCATATATGCAGGTTATTTGTGTAATATATCCTCAGATTACAAGAGGGCCCCACATAATACAGGGAGCCCCATGTAATAAAGGAGGGCTCTGGATAATACAGGAGGGGGCCCCATGTATTACAAGAGGGCCCCATGTATTACAAGAGGGCCCCGTGTATTACAAGAGGGCCCCGTGTATTACAAGAGGGTCCCGTGTATTACAAGAGGGCCCCGTGTATTACAAGAGGGCCCCGTGTATTACAAGAAGGCCCCATGTATTACAAGAGGGTCCCGTGTATTACAAGAGGGCCCCGTGTATTACAAAAGGGCCCCGTGCATTACAAGAAGGCCCCATGTATTACAAGAGGGCCCCATGTATTACAAGAGGGACCCGTGAATTACAAGAGAGCCCCATGTATTACAAGAGGGACCCGTGAATTACAAGAGGGACCCGTGAATTACAAGAGGGCCCCATGTATTACAAGAGGGCCCCATGTATTACAATAGTCTTGTATATTCGTCACCCTCTTTTCAGTGTTCCACATTTTCATTAGCTTTCAACTGAATCATTGTTCATTATGTTCGGTGCTTTTCCTGCTTTTCCTCACAATAACTGTGTAAGAGGGAAGGACAACCAGCACCATATTCTAAGCATTTTATGTACCTTTTTTATCCATATTTTTATGCCTAGCTGCTATGAGCACTTAATATATGATAGTGTAAACATGTTGTCAGGTGTTTTACACATATTCCATAATGAAAAAATGCTTTTCCCACCCATTGGTGATTTTCTCTTACTATATACGGGGTTGTGAACCTAAGAGGTGTACAAATGGGGCCCTCCTGCAGTCTTAATTAGTTTTCACTATGGGTAAAAAAAATTTAAATATTTCACATATCAAAATCCCAGATTAAAGAGATCTGGGATTCTGACTGTAAAATATTTATCTTTAGTCAAAATTACTAAAGTTAAAAAGAGAAATTTTGTTTTTCTTTTCGGGCACCCTGCTTCAGTGGGATATGGCTGGAGTTTTGAATGATGATTTTAATTTTAGGGGTAAGCTGAAAATAGTCCAATAAGTGTCCACAGCTACTATCATCCAGATTAGATTTTGCCACCGACGTGGCTAGTTTATTGTGCACCTCATATCCATTCTGTGGATTGGAAGCGCAAGAGCATATGGATACACAAAAGGCCCAGGAACTAGGCCCCAAAGGGTTAACAGGAATACATATGGATTTATGTCTTCATATCTATAGTTCACTTATCTGTTACAAGCAAATTTATGAAATTTGCTTAGTATATCTGGTATCTTATTTTCATTAATAAGATATCTTGACATGTCACATAGGTTATTATACTGTCTGTCTCTGTATTCCTCAATAAGTGGACAATTAAAGCACATAGTGTTCAAGACAGTGACCATATGTCAGATCACATAATTTACATTTAGCTTTGATATACATCGATCTGTGTGACTCCCCAAACTGCCAGAAGTACTTGTAAACCAAGCCTAAGCCAGGCCACTACATCATCAGTCAGTACCTGGGGGGGGGGGGGGGGGGTAACCAAGCCTAAGCCAGGCCAGCTACATCATCAGTCAGTACTTGTAACCATGCTAAGCCTGCACTATAAAAAAAAAACAGCATCAGTCAGTACTTGTAACCAAGCCTAAGCCTGCCACTACATCATCAGTCAGTTAACTTTAACCAAGCTAAGCCTGGCCACTACATCTCAGTCATTACTAGTAACCAAGCCTAAGCCTGGCCACTACATCATCAGTCAGTACTTGTAACCAAGCCTAAGCTGGCCACTACAACATCTGTCAGTACTTGTAACCCCAAGCCTAGCCATGGCCACTACAACATCAGTCAGTCTATTCACATTTGCACGTTTGCTCCATAAACATACTTATCTACGTCATGTTATCATAGTGGGTTTATAGATCTATCATGCTCTACTGCAACGTATAACAAACATTTTCATTATTTACTTCTCTCCTAAAATTATTCCTAAGTCTAGACACAGGTATACCAAAGTTATATCTAACATTCTTCCTTCATGGTACTCTTCATGGCTAACAAATCAACTTTATCATGAAAGAGTAATCCAATGTGTGATGGGATCCATAGCAATTGTACATTAAGTCCTTTGTCCCTAATTTTGAGTATCTATACTGGCTTCTCCAATGAGCATGTTTGTTGGAGTCCTTTATGAGTCCAAGAGCCTTCAATGATGACATAGAATCCAGTAATGAATGTATAGAGTCAAGCCAGTGTCATAGGTTAGCTTTAGCGCCATTAGGATTGCAAACAATTCAGTTTGCAGTGTAGATGCCCAGTTGTTAATTCCTTATCCTAACTCAACAAATTTATTATCGTTTCTTAACTAGGGAGGTGGCAACAGAGCATATGCAGCCCTGCCAGAAGACGTCCAGCAGGAGG